CAGTTCATTGAAATTCATGTGGGAAGAGCATGCAAAAGTGGTCTGATCTCTTTAGAGGACCTATTTCACTTTCAAATAAAATGTTACAGTTGAAGGGCAGCCGCTTAAAGGCGTCAGGAGAGTGCAAAGTAAGAAAGTATGGAGAGCTCCAACACCAATGCCCCTTTGGTCTTTACCTCAAAAGTGCATAAGAAGCAGTTTCAGCCTAAATCAAAACTGAACACAAACCCGAGTGCCAGTCTGAGTTTAAAGAGTTAAAAGTGGGATGGTGGGAAATTTTGTAGTACACAAGGAGCGTGAATGAAATACCAAAAATGAGGGCCAGTGGATAATGTTTCAGCAACTAATAATTTTAATTTCATTTGTGTAATGGGCCTGGAGGGAAACAAGAATAGATCAGTCTGCTTAAAAATGGCACCTAAGTTCATCAGTATTCCTCTTTCATAAAGTGAGAATTGATGCAACAATAAAGAGGGTTTTAGTGTCTATTGCTGCAAATACACTGCAAAACTACAAGTCATAAAGTCCAAGTTGATGTCTTTAGATGCCTCATCCTGTCCAACCAATACTCAAATACCAAGTGAATGTGCTACTGAAGAAACAACAAAATCATTGCTGGAAGTGCTGAATGTAATAAAAAGTTGGTGGTTTGGGTTCAGTCCAAACACATTCTGTAAGCTGTCATCTGGAGTCTACAATACTACTGGACTACAGTGTATGTGATATGATATGGCATAGAGGATTTGGCTTAGTAAACCAACCGGTAAGTAACCAAAGACCTAAAAAAAACAAAAAAAACAAAGCCCATAAAGTAAACAGGAATTCAAAACACAGATGAGATAGAGAGTAAATCCAAAGAGCATCACAAGAACAACGTTAATTCAAGTCATCTTGAATGTGGCGTTGCTGTTGCCAAGACGTTGAGTATATTATTTTCTCACACAACAATCTCAAGTGAGAAGGGTCGAAAAGAGAGAAAATATCCAGTGAGTGGCATTTTCCTTGGTGAAAACGCTATCTTAAAGTCAGAGAAGAATGGTCTGATTGCTTTAAACTGATAAGTAAACAGTAATTCAAATAACTCCAAGTTACACCAAGGTGTGCAGAAGAGCATTGCTGACCACACAGCAAACTGAATAAGCAGAAGACCACACCAGTTTTCACTCCTGTCGGCTAATAGGTCAGAATTTGGCATAAACAAGATGAATGCATGGATCCATCCTGCCTGGCATCAAAGGTTCAGGCTAATGATGGCGGTGTAATGTTGTCAGGTATGTTTTCTCTGCACTCTTTGGACCCCTTAATTAAGTGAGTATCATTTACACATAGCCTACATGAATATTATTGCCAACCAAGCCCAGCACATGACCACAGTATTATGACCACAGTATACCTACCCAACTTCTGATGGCTATGTGATGTTATCATGTCAATATGGACTAAAATCTCTGAGGAATGTTTCCAGTACCTTGTTGAATCTATGCCTTGAAGAATTGAGGGAGTTCTGAAGGCAAAAAAGGCCCAACCAGGTACTTGCGTGTATCTAATGATTTGATTACAGATTAGACACAGAAGAGGGTGAGATGCGAACATGCAATCAATGACAGGTGAAAATGATCAAGAAACGGACCATGCAGGAAAACTAACCTTCAAAGTAAAACATGAAAAGACCCAAAGAAACAAACACAGTCAACAACAACAATGAACAAAGGAAAACAGTGGGACTAAGGAACAAAAATCTAAGTGAGACAAAGGGCAGAGAAAATGAATACTAGGGAAACTATTCATTATTCCAACAACAATAATGATAATAATGACTTTGTTATATAAGACTCACATTCTACTAGAATGCCCAGCACATAAAACACGACAAAAACAGGTATAATGACAACAGGCAGCCAGCAGACCGTGTCCCTTTTTACACTCAAGGAACAAACACACCTTACACAGAGTGGGATGAACTGAGGTTACAGACTTATTCCAACTCATGATCATGACTCACAACAGATGTTTATAGGCTGTGTTTGCCGAGTCAAGGTCATGTTAATCCACATCACTGCAGAGCACAGTTTCAGTTATTTTGGTTATATTTCATGAGAAAGTCGTGTAAAGCAAAGGATTTAGTTAAAATAAAACAAAACAAAAAAACACAACACAACAACACAAAACAAAACACGTAATTCCACAAAATTCAATGCAAAAGGCAATTAAACACCATTTCAATTCAATTTTATTTATTTAACACCAAATCGCAACAGCAGTTGGCTCAAGACCCTTTATATTGTAAAGTCGAGACCTTAAAATAATACAGTGAAAATCCTTTAAGCAAGCACTTGGCAACAGTGGGAAGAAAAAACTCCTTTTTCAGAGGATGAAACCCTGCCAGAACCAGGATCGTGGCCACCTGCCATGAAAGGCTGGGGGAATACTATTAAATGTTCATTTAAATATTCATTAAAAAATTAAATAAAGAATCCAAGTATTGTTTTTGTTTGTTCTGCCCAACTCAATCACTGGTAATGGCTGGTAAATGTCCACAAAGGTATTTTTTATTAAATTTCTTTTGTTTAATTTTATTTGCAGCATAGCAATTAACAAAACAATTCACAGGGCCTGTGTATACCTGGGCTTCATATGCAGTCCCAGAGAAGCGACATCTGTTCCACACCCACATACCATACAGTGGGAAGATCATTTATTTACATGACAAATGTAGCGCAAAATCATCTATTACACGTCAACAGACTAAACCGATACAAAGGACTTTTCTGTGCATTTTCTGGTATTAAACTAGTAAATAATTTCTGGTTTTGCCATCTGCTTATGTTTCTCTACCATTATCAATCTACTGCGATCAAACGCAACCCACACAGGTTGTCAATGTTAAACTCTTGATATATGCTTACAGCTCCCTACAATATCAGCAAGCACAACTTTGGTTTGACTAATGGTTTGTTTGCGTGGCAGATAAGGATTACCCAGAACCACAAAAAAAACCCAAAATTAAAGCTTGACAAAATGTTATTTTCTGGTAATTACAGATGGTGAAAACACAATCTAACTCTGTACATAAGAATCGATTAAATCCATTAAACATATTCATTAAAATGTAGCTACAGTCACTTTGCTTGTGTACCTTAATCTGCTAACTACATGTTTATCCAGGAATACAAAGGACCAGATGTACAGTTTGCAATTAACTTTTCCTAATGCAGACAGAAATACACTGGTGATTTGCTAACTTACTTACTGAGCCTGCTTTCTTACACCACATAAATTAAATTCACCTTAGAAAACTAATTGCTATTTTGAAAACAGACTGCAGAGTCTCTATATACCATACCGTGCAGCCTTCACAGCCAAATAATTAGAGAATATACTGTATAATTTTTCTTATCTTATTGGTTTAAAGGTCTTTAGTATCAACATACACATATTTTAACCTCCTAAGACCCGAACTCTTTAATGGCATGCATTTTTAATTTTTCTTTGCTATTTGGGTTGATTGGGACCTGATGAATGTAAAAACAACGAATTACCTTTTCTTTTTTTTCTTTTTTGTACCTAATTTTGGTTTCTGAGAAAAATGAGATCAAAATATGAGGACATTCATTTTAAATTTTGATAGAATAGTAGCAGTATAATGATATCAGGCCCTTGTAGAGAAAAATTAAGTATTTTGGTCTAGACATCCCAAAATGTGATGTCCACATATGTGGACGCCAGGTCCTAGGAGGTCAAAGTACAGTATTGTGCAAAACTCATTAACCACCCTTATTTCTTAATATTTTCTTTCTCCATAAAGACTATTGGTGATTTTAACCAAAAATTTCCCAATTTCGATGTTTGATTTTAGACCTTTTGCCACCAATTTTCAGTCCAGTTGTTGTGTAATTTGGCCTAAATATCCCAGCCTTTTCTCCCTGTTTCAGTTCCTTAAAAACACAATAGATGGATCAACTTAAGGTTCAGATGGATCTCTCATGTCCTGTGTCAGGTATTTGCTGGACCTTTTCCCAGTTTTAAAGGACACGAGTATACTGTTCATCTGCTGTAGATAGTGTTTTATGTCTGGCATTTCTTCTTTGTTCCTCTACTTACCCACTTTCCTTTAAAGACACACCGTACAAACCATGCTGAGATATGTCAAGTTTCTGGCTTAGGTAATCACCTTCGGTGCAAAAATACTATTTTATGCCTGTAAAACTGTGTTATCTTTGCCAGTATTTATAGATTAGACTAAAGAAATTGTAACAAATGTGTTTTTTTAACAACAAGATGTCGGTAAAAGAAATGCCTAAAGATATCATTTAAAATTGGTTCTTAGTTCTCTGTTATGTGTAGACACAAGACTGGTTTATCCCCTGAGCTAGGTTTCCTTTTTAAGCTTGAATGATTCATAGGTCAGTGTTAAGTGGCTTGACAAATTAAAAAAACAAAACAAAAAACGGCACAAAGAACTGAAGACTGTATAAAATAGTCATTGATTTAGACAGTGTTTGTGCAGCTCACAGTGTTTTTCACTTTGATTTAGCTTTTCTGCTATTTTTTTATACTCAGTGTAATAACATTGAACCCCTGAATTCCCCTTAGAGGACGTTTTATATCTTGTATGAACCTTTGTAAACAAATCAACAAGAAAACAGATTATTAATTATTGATATAGAATATAATACACATGAATAAATAAAAGCTATGTGCTTACGTGTAACACAGCGGTAGCTAAGCTCCTGTGCTTTTATTTTTTTTCCTAATGAGCCCGCAGGGTCCGCTGATAGAGAGGTTTTTCTGCAGTTCTCCATGTAAAAACTGGATCCAAAAGTTAAACAGGTTTGTGTGCTTCCGATCAGAGATGCCTTCTTTTTACTGCCGTAATACATTAACCTGGCAGGAGGAAAATGCGGCCTGCCTTAGCATTAATTATTGAAGATAGTACAACAGTCTGAGCCTCGGATGACTCCAGGAAGCGGAAGGCGGCGTTGCTTAGCAACCAAGGGGCCAAACAAGCGCTAGCACCATTTCGGCGTGTTAGCATTTTAGCTAATTAAACTTTATCCTTTTCTTTTTAGCATATTACTCTGCGCTCAGTAGTTTTATATTTTTAGTTTAAATATATCGTTTAAGTTGACCTACGAGTCAAATGGCAGGAAAGAAAAAGGAGGCAACGCTGCAGGTTGTGTTTTTGTGATTTTGTGTTTTTTTTTAAGCTACTTTTATCATCCCTGGGGATAACAGTTTGTCTTTTCATATCCAGGCTTCCGTCACAAACCAAGAGCAGTGGGAAGAGATGCTTGCAACCAAAGGTTTAACAGGTAAGACTTTCATCAGTAAAAGAGCTGTTGTCCTAATAAAAATGAACGCTCCACGAGAACTGTTGTAAAGATGTTACAGCGTGATGTGAAGGACTGCTGGCATCGTCGTTACTTATTTGCTGTGTTCTGCTGCCCCCCTGTGCTCAGTGTGATAATTGTACCAACCTACCACACCTTTCTGTCCTCCTGTCTTGTACACACACACGCACACAATCAGTTGCTGACTCTCTCATTGCAGTCGTAGATGTGTATCAGCAATGGTGTGGTCCCTGTCGTGCTGTGGTTAGTCTCCTGCGAAAAATAAAGAATGAACTGGGTGATGACTTGCTTCATTTTGCCACAGTAAGAAGATTCAATAAAAAATATGAAGAATTTAAAATTTTCAGAGAAGGACCTTTGAAATTGTGTGTGTGTGTGTGTGTTTTGGTGCAGGCTGAAGCAGACAGCATTGATGTTTTGGAGAGGTATCGAGGGAAATGTGAACCCACCTTCCTCTTCTATGGGGTGAGTGTGTGTCTGTGTGTGTGTGTGTGTGTGTGTGTCGCTGGCCACTCTATTAGGTATACTTATTCAACTGCTCAGTAACACAACTATGTAATCAGCCAACCCAATGTGCTCAACACAGGAGCAACTTAGGCAAGTAGGCGTGGTCAGAATGACATGCTGAAGTTCAAATAGAGCTTCAAAATGGGGGAGAAATCTAATTTAAGTGACTTTGAATGTGGCATCGCTCACAATGGAAAACTGGAAAAATGGTGATGGTGATGTGAGGGTAGGGTCAGAATTAGGCATAAACAACATGAAAACATGCATCCATTCATTCTTTGTACCAACTGTTTATTCTGCTGGTGGTATAATGGTGTGGGAGATATTATTTTGGCACACTTTGCGCCAACTACTAACTGTTTAAATGCCACAGCATACTAGAGTATTGTTGCTGACGATGTCAATCCTTTTATGACCACAGTGTATCCATCTTCTGATGGTTGATTCCAGAAGGATAACACATCATGTTGCAAAGCTCAGTCATCTCAAATTGGTTTCCTGAATATGACAATGAGTTTTCTGTACTCAAATGGCCTCCAGTCACCAGATCTGAATCCAATAGAGCACCTTTGGAATGTGGTGGAATGAATGATTTGCAGTGCAGTCAAATCGAAATCTGCAGCAACTGTGTGATGCTATCATGTAAATATGGCCAAAAAAACTCTAAGGAATGTTTCCAGCAAGTTACTGAATGTATGCCATGAAGAATAAAGGCAGATCTTAGGGCAAAAAGGGGTCAAACCAAGTACTAGTAAGGTCGTATATGCCTAATAATGTGGCTAGTTGGCTATATGCTATATAGTTGACTGTATAGTTCAACGACAAAATGTGTGTTTTATTACTAAGATAAGATTCAGTATACTTTTCTTATCCCAAAGGTTGCGAAATTTCTTTATTAAATTAAGTATAATCTCAAATGTATTAGCTTAAATGTTTAGAATTGTATATAGTTAAATAGTATCCAATATAATATGACAAAACACCTTTCAATAAAGATAAAAAAAAAACTAACTTTAAAATAAAAATAAAAAAAGCAATAAAACAAAGAGAAGTAAACCTATAAATCAAATATTAAATGATTGTTAATAATTATATGAATTATTTAATTAAATAAAAGCTGATTAACAAAGTGATATATATGTGTGTGTCTCAATTTCAGTTTGAACATAAACAATATAAAACAAATAAAAATGCCTTATTAAAAGTATACAAATCAAATATCAGATGTCATCACAGTGGCTGAATATAGGATTTTAATGTCGCAAAATTGGCTTAGTAAACACAGAGTGTTAGCATACTATTATTCTGTGCTAGACAGGTTTGTGTGTTTTTCTGTTTTTTTTTATACACAACTTCTGTCTCTAGTTATTTCAGTCTATTTCAGTTTATGATACCTGTAGCCTGTAATGGTTAGCCAAGTGATCACAGAACACAAAAAAACCCTTTGTATGTACAATATTGTCATGTGTCCCACCATGCTGCAACTGACTGACTGACCAAGGCCAGTCTATTGGCATGCTGGATGCTGGCATGTGTTGCTGCAGTCTTGTTCATGAGAGCACCATGTCTGATCCAACTGTTCTTGGTGGAAATCTGACTAGATGGCAGTATCGAGATGAGGTGCTCCAGCTTTTACTTGTCCCATTCTTGCAGCAGTACACCAGCAGCATCTCTTTCAGCAGGAAAATGCCCAAACCCACACTGCCAGAGCCATGCAGGCCTTTCCATATTAGGAGCATATGCAGGCATTCCCTTGCCAACATTCAGTCTTGTTATGGGTGATCGTTTGCATCACATAACCATCTTCAGGTACATTCTCACTACTGGCAATGTGCTTGGTTTAATTGAGGGTGGTGCCTAGTCAGCGCAGCCAGGAAACATGACACCACTCACTTGATGTATATTAAGTGAATAATTAATGTACCTAGACTGTTCTCACATGGGACCAGCATATAGACTTTGTACTTGCAATCTGGCTGGTTAAAGTTGAATATCTCAGATGCAGCTGAAATTTCAGGCCTGTAGTTTGTGTGTGAAAATGGCTTTAGAGCCATGCCCCCCTTGCGGTGAAAAAATATTCTGTAAATTAAATATATTCTGTTGAAATATTTATTTGTCTGATCGAAATTACACTTGTCTCTAAGCTTGTTGCTTAGACTCTCTTTTTAAAATTTTTAAATATTTTTGTGGATCGCTTACATAGGCCTCTAAAGCCTTTTTGTATCTCACCATTTTATAAATGCTAAATTAAATGTAAAAAAAAAATGTTAACTTATTACTAGGCTTGTGTTGAATGAACAGGGTGGGGAGCTGGTGGCTGTACTGCGTGGGGCAAATGCTCCCATGCTTCAGAGGATGATTGTGGAGGAGCTAGCCAAAGAGAAGCTGGTCCTGGAGCAAGGTGTTGAACGGAAAGTGGTGAGGAGCTCATTATACACATGCATTCACACATATTTCTGCCAGGACAATAGAGTGTTTCTCTGCAGACATGCTGCCATGTCACGGTTTGTTAAAGCATTAATATTAATAAATTTTTCTGTTCTAAGTAAAGTAGTCCATAACAACGTGACAGTAAGCCAGCATGTATGTTACCAGTGCTGAAAGCAATGTGACTAAAATCAAATCAGTCTGTGTTTATTTTATTATTTACCCGTTTCGTTTTCCTACAGTAGTATTTCAAAATTGCTTCTGTGGATGATGGCTTTTAGCCATTTAAGTCAAGCAGCAGAAAATATATCAGCAGCTTTTTTTTTTTAGGTGTTTCTTATTTACTTTTGGACATTTAGAGTAAAAATACAGCCTAATAACCACCAAGTTCATGTCAGAATCCTGTCAGCCTGACACTGATAGTTGTGTATGAATTAGTCTTTTGCTGCATCTCAGTGGAAAACAGACAGCCTGCACTCTTTGCACTGTCACATAACAATTTCCAATAAGTATGGTTTAAAAGGCTACCAGTTGAATGTATTACATTTATTTGTTTGTAGGTTATTTTTATTAGAATTTATTAGTTGCTTGGCGAGTTAAAATAACCTGTACAGGGCCCTGGGAGAAATTGGCATTTACTAATAATTTGCAGTCTGTTTGCTTTCTGGACTGCAGAGAGCAGTTGGTTTTCCTGAAAACAGTGTAATGAAGTTGAATATATATTAAATTGTATCCGGCTAAGTAAAGATTATATTTAAATGACATTTGGAGCAAAAATAACAAACATTTCCCAGTTAGAACCTAATGCTTTACTGTTTTTTTTCTATATCTTATGTGACTCTTGGGTGGAAAATAAAGCTTATAAAGCCATGTTAAATAATACTAAAGCCACCATTAGCCATAGCTGTAGTTTATACACACACATATGTAAAGACAGACATGTTTAGGGATTCATTATTTTTATTTCCTTTGTTGTGTCTTTGTTAGGTGAAAGACAATGGTTTGACAGATGAGGAGAACAAAGAAGAGGAGGAGTTGCCACAGCATTTAGAAAATGAAGAAAGTGTAATTGGTACTGTGGAAAAATATAATTGGCAGTATTTTCAGCGCTGATGTTACTTATCATTGGTGTTTCCTGTTGATTCTGTGGAATATTTTGCATTCTGTCAGAATTACAGATCATCACTCAAGCTCTTCTCTTCTCTTGCAGTCCCTGCCAGTAAATCCTACACAGTTGCCATCATTAAACCAGACGCCGTTGCTCACGGCAAGGCAAATGAGATTATTATGAAGGTACATAAAGAAGATCACTGCTCACATTGGGAGAAGAAAAGATTGTCTCAAGCTTTCCTGCTGATATTAATTCATTATGTTGATGCTGATATTCTCCTGGATAGATTCAGGATGCTGGCTTTGAGATCCTGGCGCATGAGGAACGCACGCTAACGGAGGCTGAAGCTCGAGATTTTTACCAACACAAAGCAGCAGAGGTGCGGTATAGCGAAATAGAGGGGAATGGTATAGAATAACAAAAAGACAATTCTTCTCACAGACAGAGGCTTATTGCATAGATTGACATTCAAGTCAAAGTGAGGAAAACTGATGATGATGCAGTGAATGTTTGTGATGTTAGCCAGGGCCATTAATATTCTGAGTCAACATACCGGTAGCAGAGCAGTCACGACCAGTGCAAAAATCATTCAGTTACTTTGCTACACATGACACATCCATCTGCATTTTAGCACGGGGCTCAAAATAGAATTGCTGTGTAAGCAGCTTTTTTTTCTATTTTGCTTATGGTGCTGTTTTTGATGAGACCAAATTGTTATAGATACAGAAATTTAAAATATGTGAGAAAAGCCTGGGGAATACTACTGCTGAGAAAATAATAAATGGGCATGAGTTGTATATGTATTTGTTTTTGCAGGTTTTGTATTCAGTGCATTAACATATGTGTCTGTGTCTCGGCTGCTCTTTGTATGTGTTGGTGGTTTGTAGGCGTGCTTTGAGGATTTGGTGCAGTTTATGTCCAGTGGTCCCTTCCATATTCTAGTACTCTCTCAGGTAGAGGGATCTGCAGCAGTTGTACCGGCATGGCGTGAGTTTATTGGCCCAGCAGACATAGAAGAAGCCAAGAGAGAAAATCCAGAAAGGTTAGTTACTGGAAATTATGCATATGATCCAGTGTCATTAAGTAAATTATCATTTCTGGGAAGTACAACATTTGTTTGCAGCATCGACATTTATCTCTGCACTGCTGATTGCAACAGTGCGAAACAATCTGGAGTCTGGAAAAAGGAACAAAAAGCACATTGTCGCCTGCTCCATCAGACACACCCAAACATTATGCTTCTCTCTGGTTGAGCACCAGCCGAGCAACCATCTGGTCTCCTCTCCTTTCTCCCCCCTGGCTTCCTGCAGCTTGCGGGCACAATACGGCACAGAGACACTGTTCAACGCAGTGCACGGTAGTGAGGACAGCGACCAGGCCAGCAGGGAGCTCGCCTTCTTCTTCCCCAACTTTCGGACGGCCTCAGTAATGGAGCAGGATGGGGAGGAAGAGCATGTGGAGAGGACACTGGCTCTCATCCGCCCCGACGTTGCCAGGGAGAACAGAGGTGGGGCTCATGCCAAATGCACAAGTACACACGTGGGCAAGCACAGATACACCTTCAATAACAGCTCATATTAACAGCGAGACTGCTCCTTGACTCCTTCACCAAAGGTGTTGAATGACACTGTACAATGCAGTGAAAATGCACATGCTTATTTTAGGTAGACTGCTATGTTTTCTTTTTTATTTCATATCCCTGATTTTGCAGAAGAGATTTTAGATCACATCCACAAGTCTGGCTTTATAATAGCACTTCAAAAAGAGGTGATGCTGTCAGAGGAGCAGGTCAGACAGTTTTACGGTCAACGTGTTGAGGAGGACTACTTCCCTGCACTGCTCCAAACCATGACCAGGTAACTTTCAACAAACTGTATAATTAATCCAGAGATTTTCTTGTTTTGTTTTGTTTTTATACTCCAGATGATTATACAACATGTGTATTTTTACAGTGGGCCGGTGCTGGCTTTGGCTCTTGCCAGAAAAGGGGCTGTAAGTCATTGGAAAACCATCCTCGGTCCTTCTGACATCAATAAAGCCAAAGAGGAGAGTCCAGACTGGTGAGTAATGTGCACCACAGTGAGGAAAACTACCAGTAGAAAAGCAGTGAAGTTTAAAAAGCTAATCTACTGTCTGTCACAGATTCTAACAGCTTGTTAGAGAGAACTCGGCACTCTTTTCACCTCTCTTTTTATCCTTGTCAAGAAAAATTTCAGAAAGAGCCAAACAACACAAAATCAGCTAGATAAGTGGTTCTTAAAGTTGGGTGCAGGGACTCCCTGGGTGTCTTTGAGTCTGATTCTGTCTGATTCCATTGTAGTCATTGAAAATGGAAAGGGACGGGCATTTATAAAGCACTTTCTAGTCCTGCTGTCCACTTAAAGCCCTCCAGACTGCAAGCCAAATCTAACCACACATTTACAGAGATCTAAACACATTTTCTCTCATACACTTTCATCCACCTCACAACCATGACCAGTTATTAAATGTAAGTATGTTTTTGGACCCTGATCACACTCACACTCTTGGGTGAGGTGTTTCAGGCATGTCCCACCGGGTGCAGGCCCCGAGGCAGACCCAGGACACACTGAAGAGATTATATCTCTCGGCTGGCCTGGGAAAGCCTTGGTGTTTTGATCTTCTCTGCCTAGGCTGCTGCTCCTGTGACTTGGCCCTGGATAAGCAGAAGAAAACAGATAGATGGATGGAATAGAATTTTAGCTCTGCAAATATGTAGTCAGTCATTTTACACTCCACTGATTATAAATAAACAATTTTTCTGAAAAGTTGATGGTAGAGGGGCATACTGGGAAATATATCACTCGTACTTTCTGACTTTGCTTTAATTTGTGCAAAATGTGTATACAACTTGATGACATCCACTATGACTAACTAACTAAAAACAACTTTTTTTCTTTATATTTTTATAGAGTAGATAATTGGAAAAGCAACATTTTAAATTATGTTTTAAAAGTCAAAGAAAAAAAGTGACTCTAAAGAGGGAAGAGAGCAGGATGAGTATACTTTGGATCTGAGTAGTGTTTTCTGTTTTTTTGCTGAGTAGTTTGTGTTTGAATGAGGAATTATATAAATGAGTAAATTGACTGGTTCTTACATAGTGCTTTTCTACTCTACTGGAGCACTCAAAGCGCTTTATATCTGTCTGTGAAGGTTCTCAGTTCTCAAAGCGCTTTATACAACATGCCTCATTCAAGCATCCATACAAACACTTTTTTATGCCTAAGTGCTTCCTATCTAACATTCATATACATCTGTACTTTGATGGATGCACTACCGACATTTCAACTGCATGTTTGGTACGGTGAACCCGTCCAGTCTGTGAAGACCTGTGGCTTATGCGCTTCTCTCTTTGGCTCCATACAGACATTACAGTGTCTTTATGCTACTTTAGCAAAGCTAAATCTGTTTTGGGATTGTGGTAGCCTCAGTGACAAAGATCTTGAGTTTATATAAGCTTAGATAAATTGTCCATTCCCTGACCCATATATATCTGCTCCAAGACATTGTTAAAGGATGAAAATTTTCTTTTGCAGACGCAGGAACTATCTGTATTTATTTTCAAACAGTAGTGCTTTGACACAATTAAATATTGTCTGTTGTCTTTCTCTGTCTGCAATGCACCATATGTTTCTGTGGTTTCTAACTGGAGTGGAATCAAACAAGGCAGTCTGAACAGAAGTGAAGAAAATTACAGTTAAATTACACAAAAATTACTCATTAAATTACATCCTTTCCTTTGAAAATAATTTCTGGAAACCATCAATACTTTCTTTTAGACGTGGATGGTGCCAGACAGTACAATCACACTTGTAATTTTCTTCTTTGTTTCCCTCGTACTCAGTCTAAGGGCCCAGTTTGCAGTGGAAAATAAGCCTATCAACCAGCTCCACGGCAGTGGAAGCCACGAAGAGGCAGAGCAAGAGATCAGCTTCTTCTTCCCTAAACAACAGACTCTGGCAGTGATCAAGCCAGATGCAATGGAGGAACACAGAGGTCTTTTTATGTTCATTTGTAATGACACAGAAATGCTTGACATTACTTTTGTTTTGACATATTTTTCATATATTTTTGTTCCTCATTCTGACAGAGGCTATTTTGGAGGAGATTCGTGGCCGAGGTTTCTCTGTAACAAGGCTAAAGGAGACCGTGCTGTCAAGGGAGATGGCTGAGGAGTTTTACAAAGAGCACAGAGAGAAGCCTTTCTTTAACCAGCTGGTGGAGTTTATGTGTTGGTTAGTCTGCTCTCGAATACAGCCACCAGAGCAGTGCAAAGTGACTACAGCATACCCGCCCTAATTCCTGCTGCCACTCCAATTTCTAATGGCACTTTTAACAGTAATCTTAGCAGCTAAGAATCAAGGCAGCCTCAGGCGAGTGGCTGCGAAGTGCATCTCAGTTTCATTCTTTGTCCCACATCGCACATCGAGATTTTAGAACTATCTTCCGCTCCGATTAGCTCCTTCACTTGGCTGTTACACAACTTTTTGGACAAAATGAGAGAGTTGAGTGCAGCTGGTCACAGCAGCCTGAAAAAATGTCTTCAGTGCCTCAATATTAGCTCAATTTTAGCCTTAATTATGGATTAATCGTATTAATATATGCCATAAGGATGGCTATCACATGAATCTAGAGCTCCTCATTGAATAGCTTTTATAGAGCTCCAGAGCGTCAGTAACAGCTATTAACTGATACACATTTTTACAATATAATCTTGCCGGCCACATTTCAGTGTAAAGTAGTCCTAGCTACATTTTAAAATATAGTTATTTAAAGCCTAAAGAAGTAGCATCATTTAACCTAGATACCTGTTCTGGCCCAGTTTTAACAGAGACACCTGCACATCGTTTTTTACCTGCAGTGCACCATATTCATCCTTACAGTCAAATGGTGCTTGTTGTAACAATAGGAAGTCTCCCATTGCTGCCCTAGACAATTTAACTGCATTATTTTGTGTGTAATTTCAGTATTAAAATAGTATTTTGTCATGTTTGTTATTATATTTAAAGGTTATATCAAAGGCAGCATACGAGGACAGACTGAAAAGCTGGCCTCGTATATTTGGTTATCCAAACTTTCCAAAAACCAGATGCATTCCTCTGTCTTTGCAAGTTTGGAATCATATTGCCAAACAAGATAGCTTTACAGTAAGACAATCCTTTCACTCACTGTGGCATTTTCATTACAGCGTGTAAATATCCCACAAATGTTTGTTTCAGGGCGCCCTGTATGATGCTTGTCCTCACTAAGGAAAATGCGGTGGAGGAGTGGAGGGCCATGATGGGTCCCACAGACCCGAACAAGGCAAAGGAAGCGTCCCCAGAGTCTCTGAGGGCTCGCTTTGCTGCTGACATCCTCCATAACTCAGTTCATGGTTCTTCCAACGAGCAGCACGCGGAGGAAAAGATCCGTTTTATCTTCGGTGACATCAGCACAGATGCGGAGCTCACCAGTGACGATCCCATTTCAGGTGACCATATAATGAGTGTGAAAGTCTTTACCATCTGTCACACCATCTGGTTTCCTCTAAATAACAATTTTCAGCTGATTTTTTACATCGATTTTCTTGGTGTTAACTAAATTTTTCTTATCATACTGAAATAAATGTGTTTTTTGTTCATCTTTAGCTAAAGAGGAAGTAAAGGCTGCAGAGAAAAACACAGAAATTATACAATCTTCAACTGAAGAAATCTCCAGTAGCAGAGTATGCACATAAAAAGAAGGGTATCCCAATTCAGGGACTTGACCCTTTAGAGTCTGCACTTTTGCCGAATTTAAGCTGCTTTCGCATTGATGAGAAAGCCATAGAGTATTTTCATCACTTTACAAAGACAGGGATGAGGTATTGGTATCTGTATGTCTACTGACTTTATTAATGGACATTTTTCTGTCTGTTAGGCAACACTGTAGCTATAGAGAGACTGAAATTGGGACACCACAATTACTGTTTACTTCGAACACTGAGTAGATACATCTCTTTACAATGACAATCAAGATTAGTTGCACAAGAAGAGGTGTCTCTCCTGACTGAGAGAAAACTAATGCCACTCATCTCCATAATGTCACAAACAGCTGCTGGAATTGCGATGCAAACTGGCGCTACAGCCTCTCTGTGTGTAGGGAATGAAGTAAATCATGATTGAGTCATACCATCTCATACCTGCGGAGGAAAATTGCACCTCCAGTGTGCTGTATCTTTTTTCTGTTGCCATGTTTTTTTGAATGCATAATTAGGATCAGGGGACAGAATCTTGAATCTGTGTGCAGCCCATGTTTGATAAATTATGAACACTGCAACAGTGTTGTTCAGCAAAGCTGTTATTACTTAGCAGTGATATTTAGAAGAGTTATCTTCAGCATCCCTCTTTATTTTGCAGATGACCTACAAACAGGAGGAAGCATCGATCCAGAGCTCTCAAACTGAATCATCACACCTTGTGTTTTCTCTTCTATTATAAGCTTAATGTGTAAAATCGTGGGAACAACAGAGCGCCTGTCATTCTATGAATCATGAAATAAACACGACAAATATATATCAGACTTTTTACACCTTTTGTAGGTGGCGTATCAAGACGGCACATTCAAGAAACACTGTAGACGTGGAGTCGTGTTCGCTTAATACCGCCGTCGACAGTTTGATGGCTCTCTCAGCTCACATCAGCAGCCGCGGGCTACGTGACTAAAACCAGGATAGTACAATCACCAAAAAGCGACTGACAATTTCAGTGTTCACAGAATCCTTTAGTGAGTACACTGTGCCACTATCAGTACCTTAGGTTGTCTCCTGTAATTTACTACCACAGTGCTGTGATAATATTAACAATATGAAGGTAGTATAAAGAGTGTTACTCCTGTTTATGCAAGGGGTGAGTACAGGGGACCGTAACAGAGCAATTAGGCTCAAGTTTTTTCCTTTTACCGTAATTATTGCGGGATATTGCTTTAGCAATAGGACATAAATTACACACTGAAGCTACCTTAATGAGGTGCATGAATAAAGAAAATATCTAACAGCTCTAAAAAGCTACATAATTGTTAGTATTAGGTATTCCTTTCAGATCATTTGAAAAAGGATTTCAGAATTCAACCACCTGGCAACCTCCAGGACTGAAAAATGAAGGCAACATGGAAAAGGAAAAAAAACTGCAGTTCCTTTTGAGGCTTGTCCTCCCTCTTAAGAGTGGCTCCAAAAGTAAATCAATCCCCATAGCCTCTCATGTTAAAATTGCTGATTTCAGCCAATTAAATAACATGCTTTCATCCTGGTATGAAAAATTGGTGTCTGGTGGCCTGTCCTGGGTGTACACCTCCACTCACCATATGACAACCTGGATAGGCTTCAGCCCACCCACAACCCTGAGTAGGATGATCTGTTAAGAAAATGAATAAAGAACTAATGTCCCTGTTCATAGTAAATGCACAAGGGCAGTGAGAAACTAAGGTTAAACTCACCCATTTAGGGACTGTTAAAGCTTAAAATTAGGGGCATGGCTACTTTTACTAACAGACAGGCCAACATATGCTGCTTCCAGTTTGTAGTGAAGGTGCCTAATGGAGCGTCTCTAGTGGAAATATGTGACTCATAAGACGGCTTAGTATGTGGTAAAATTAAAAGATCCACAAAGGCTTTGCTCAGTTTTGGTGAGTGAAACAAATATTTTTATCAGTCTCCTACTTAGCTCTAAATAGTTTATAGATGCTGCTCTAATCTAATCTGAGTCAATGAACTGGACTTCTTGCCCATCTTAGTTTTGAGTTTCAAAGTTAAACTTTGGTTGTGTTATTGTATTTGGAATTGTCTGTACTGTGTATTAGTTTATGGCTTATCTTGCTAAAAAAAAAAAAAGATCATCATTTGCTGATAATTTAGCACGCCACATTCATGTAAATTTGGTCATTTCTGGCTTCAAATCAAAAATTCATAAACTAACAGTTACATCACAGGTGGTAACATCCTTCTTTTACATACAGTCTATAAATTTAAAAGCTATAAATGACTATATTTTAATCCAAGTTAATCTGAAGTATCTTGAAGGAGTTTAAACATGTAATCTGGCCGCCATGCAACTTAAAGGATGTCAAAAGGATGGTAGAAAAAAAATCTTCACATTTTCCTGTATTAGCAAAACAAAAAGATTTATTGTAGTTTTCACCCATTAAAATAACTTTCAACTCAATGCAGGCATGATGTAGCTGAGATGTAGGACTAGGCTTTGCTCCATGGGCAAACCCAAAAAATTATGGCAATAAAATTGGTCAATCATCGGTCTTTGTAGCTCCACTGCTTGTCCGTACTGGTGCCGTGGTGCTGAGCAGACGTGGTTTCAGGCGGAGTGTCCTCCCAGTCATTTGCGGCCTCCAATAAGATGGCCTCATCCATGTCGTCATCCGCAGAGAATGATCTCTGGAACATCTCCATGATGCTCCTCTGGGCAGGATCCTAGACAAACAGAAATAATCAGCGTGTTTTAAAACATAAATCTATATATAAAAACTCTTAACAGCACTATACATTATTAATTTACGTACAAATATACAGTTTACCTTGGAGTGGAAGCTGGTGTTTTCTGCAGTTTCCGAGAGGTTTGCCTCGGAAAGACCCACTTGCTCCAGGACATTCATTTTTTCCTGGATCATGGGCCTGGAATGATACATAAAGAAATATCAGTCCAGCCCTTCACTCACTGTTTGTCACAATATGCACACCAGTCTGCCCACATTAACCCCTCCTTCTCCCCCTGCTGTTACAGACCAAGACTAATGAATGTTGCAGGAAACAGTCTGAATAGCCACATAAATGCCTGTAGTTGGGTCATACAGTACTTCCTCCTGATTGACACATACCATAGGTGATCATCAGCAGTTCCCTTGGCAACCAGGTAGTGAATGTTCACACTGCTGGTTTGTCCAATACGATGAACTCTATCCTCTGCCTGAATGAGAACCTGCAGTGGAGGAAAAAAAGCTTTTTCCTTTATAGCAAAAAAGAGCAAAGGAGTTTCACAGCTTTAGAAAATGATTCTGGCTTTTCATTTAGCTGCAGTGACCCCAAAAGGCCAAAGACTCCTCGAGAAGAAAAATCAATGAAAAATCATTATTTAAGCTTTTAATTTATCTGCCGACAGCTGAAATTAAAGCACTAGTTTCCACCTGGAACTGAAACTGTGGCTGAATATGTGCTTATAATGAGTCACATTTTTTCTGCATTTGACTCCTTATTTTAAAAAAAAAAAAATCCAACCTGCATAAGATGTGTGTTTCTGGGAAATGTCTCCTTTCAGGTTTTGGGGGAATTTATCACATTGTGGGTATAAGAAACAGAGCGACATAATGTTTCGAAGGCTACCAGGGAAAAATAACCTAAACACATGGATGATTACTAAAACACACACTATGGCTGGGTTATAACATATAATCTAATGTCATAATATAACTTTGTGTTCTCTGTTACCAGAAAAACTGTGGTGTTCATGAAAGCGCAGTTCCTCTAAAGGCCACTTGAGCTAGCTTAAAACGTGAGTCAATCCCCACAGACTCCCATATTAAAATTACTCCGCTTTAGAGATTAAATTAACACATTTACTGTCTTGTAAAGAGCAGATTATTATTTATTTTTTCTTCTCGGTAACTAATTTATCTATTCATAACAAAAGTGCTTTCATATCTTATATTTTCAATTTCCTTTCCCTATTTAAAAGTTAAATGCTGACAACCAGTATTAATACAGTAGCCCTCTAATTTTCGGATTCAGCTCGATAGCACTAGAACACTTCTTGTTCTATATTTGATGTGCGAGCCGAGAAGCAAACCGGAGCTTTTTAAACAGCGGGATTCCAAAATATTAAAGAATGGTGTTACTGACAGTGTCATTTCAGTGACAGCAGAGTGTTTTGCAGGGACAGCTTTCCATGTCTCACCCCAGGGTTCCAGAAAAGCTCAGCGAAGATCACCAGGTCTGCAGAGTGCAGGGTTAGGCCCATATTAGCTGCAGTGATGGACAGTACCGCCACACAGGTCTTGGCTGAGTACTGAAACCTATCGCACAGTTGCTGTCGCTCCGCTGACGGAGTGCTCCCATCAATACGGATAAAACCGACATTCTGAGGAGGAAGTAAACCTTTGTTATTTTCTGAAAACAATCGCTTAAAAATAATGACTTATTGCAGCAGACCAAGATAAATCACCAAATTAATTAAATAATCCCATCCTTATTAAACTTGAAAGAACAATAAGTCATAGTAGTAGTGCTAAAGCTCAAATGTGCTCAGAGCCGCCCACACTTGTTCTCCACAGCTACTGAAGGACTTGACCTGTTTGACGTTTACTCCCACAAAAGATCTCATCTGAGTAACCGGTTTAAAACAAACAAACAAAAAAGTTAAACTTCATTCTTCTACGTCACAGCTGCATCACTTTCCACTACTAGCCCTTTGTGTGGGGTATCATCAGTATGTGTCTTCCTTACTTTTTTCCCCAGCTCGGTCGTGATATGATCCAGGATTAATTTATGATGGGCAAACACCAGAAACTTCTCCCTCCCACACTCCAGCATGTCTATGATGTACTCCCTGAGAGGGACAGAACAACATACTGCAGAGCTGAACCATTTCAAAGAAACATTGAAATATTCAGTCTTTATCTGAAGTCTTGGTTATCTCCAGTGCGGTGCAATCATAATGCTCTGACAAAAGATTCTCTTTCATTTTACATTTTAATCTCAGCGCTCATCAAATATAAGCTGATTCGACTCACTGATCCCCACCATTAGAGGGTCTGTACTTACATAATGGCTTGTAGCTTGGCTTCGGCTGTGTGGTTATAAAAGACGAGGAGGGCTTCCTTCTCTTCCATTTTCTGAAAAAGAGATAAGGAACATCACAAGATAAGAACTGACAGGAGATTCTGTTTGATGATTTGATAAGACTGCCATTACTCGGAGGAGTACTGTGATTATGCACAATCAAGCTCAGCGACTCACTCCCATCGGGGAGTATAAACACTCCAATGAGGTTGGACCGGAGAATTCTGGGTCGTTTAAAAGCATTTGTGTGCGCTTGAGGCTCGAGGACTGAGCCAACACATCTGATTACCTTGGGCTAACAAAAAGCTTCCTCAGCCTCTTCTTAACAGATTTGTCTTTTTAGTCACAGTCTTTGTTATGAATTTTGTATTTTGGGAGCGTACAAGCGATACAAGTGAAGACATAAAACAAATCCTACTTTTGAAGATATTGTGATATTTTATAACTACTGAAATATACACTCAGGCACTTTGATTTGGACCTGCTTTTGTCTTCACTCTTTGTGGCACATTCATTAAAGAGCTGGAAACATTCCTCAGAGGTTTTTGGTCCATATTGATGCGGATTTTTTGGCTGTACAACCATAAATTACATGGTCAGCAACAATACTCAGCTAGTTTTTAAAGGACGCTCAGTTGGTACTAAGGAACCAAAAGGGTTCCAAGAAAATATCCCTGACACTATTGCACCACCAGCAGCCTGAACCAATGATTCAAAGTAGGATGGATCCACGTTTTCATGCTGTTTACACCAAATTATGACCCTTCTGTTGTCCTATTTTGCTGCACCTGTGAACTTTAGCCCAGTGCTGCTGTAGCCTATCTGCTTCAACGTGTTGTATGTTCAGAGATGCTCTTCTGCACACCTTGGTTAAACATGTTGTTACTAGTTATAATAAGGAGTGGTTATATGAGTGACTTCCTACCCAGTCTGGTCATTCCCCACTGACCTCTGACATCAACAAGGCATTTTCAGAAAACTGCCACTCACTTAATAATAAATAATCACTTTCTCCTTCTCAGACCATCCTCCGAAAACTGTAGAGATGGATGTGCGGGAAAATCAGGAGTTTTGGGAATACTAAGACCAGGCCAGCTCATCTTGACCATGACTACAAATGTATTGAGCTGCTGCCATGTGATTGGCTAATTAGATGAGAAGTTGAAAAGGTACACTCAATAAAGTGTCCACTGAAAGTATATCCATCAGTTCTACGATTTCCTGATTATGTAGAAATGATTAGAAAACACAGTATTCAAATTCTATTACCTTCCTGGGTTTCAAAGGTTTCAACACCTGTGACTTACATTGCGATGTCCTTTGGCCAACTGCTTGGCTGCAGCTGACAGAGCAGCTTTCGTGCGGGTGTTGATCCCATCGATGGTCACCGTGACCACCTTGCGCTGTTTAGCGGGAAGCTGGGAAAGGACCTCAGACTTGAGACGGCGCAGCATCAGACACTCCTCCAACAACAGCTTCAGCTCTCCAAGATTAGAAGAGCCCGTGTAGTCCCAGCCCCAAGTCATCTGTAGGTGCAGTGAAGGGCAAAAAAATAAAAGAACAGGTGATAGTGGGAATGACTGGTGGAAAATAAAATGTGGCATGTAAAAGTTCAAATGTTATACTTAGAAAGAGTTGAATGTAAACGTTAAGATTTTTTCTTTCTTTTACAAAATTTTGCTTTAATAAAAGTCAAACATGTGTTTAAACACCAATACACCAGTCATAAGCTTACACT